TTGGCCAGAGAGTCAAACCCGCTGAAACTAGGGCAAACTGTCCTACATCGATATATTTGCTACGTGTGTGTCAGATGGATGCGCCAGGGATCGTGATGTTACGGCTATTCTGTTGTTAATCTTCCACCGGCTTTGAACAAACAAAACACAAAGCAACTCGGTGCAAGTGGCGCAACCATGCCGGAGAGACCTCCACCTCTTGGCCACGTGGTCCAAAAATAGTGGCAGAGGCCGCGTGCGGTCGGTGGGCTGGGGATGGAGGAGGTGTTAAATAAACAATGCCACCACGGCATAACTGAGGTAACATAAGTGTTGGTGTGAGACATGGCATGATTTTTCCTTCCAAACCTCCTCAAGGTGGGAGCGGAACATGTTTGTCATCGTGGTCATGGCTCCAGTACCCTCCGACAGGTCATGTCTGGTTTTTTGGTGGTCATCGTTGCTATGACTCTAACAGGTGTCCCCTAGTAGCCTGTTAGCTAACAGGATTTTCAAAAACCAGACGTGACCTGTCGGAGGGTGCTGGTATAATGACTATATAATGATAAATACTTGATTGCTATATCTTGTCTTTAACTATATACACATATACCAGAACCACAGAAAAGGAGTCCATGTACAGCATTGAGCTCGCAGGAGGTGCGCATTTTGATTTTCCATAGCCTTTTAGAGTGTCCATCAACCACCCCGACTGGGGGCACAGGTCAACCACCTTTTGGGGATTGTGCCATCTACTCACAATCCGGAGATTGGTCTTGTGGGCATTGGATCCCGCATGGGCCGATTGTTGGACCTTCGGCATTGGAAGGTGCTGCCTGGCTGGCCCGCATAATCTAAAAGGCTCCATGCGTACCACTGGCTGGCCACAGACTCTTTGCATGATGTGTTTGAGCTGATTCAGTTTTCCAACTGTGACTGGCCGTAGTGAGGGTGTGTGATTGAATTTGGGCACAACTTCAAAAATATGAATTGAAGATTTGTAGAAATAAACCAGCACCACCAGAAACTCAATGTGGATTCACCTCTTGGGTTGGCTTCTGCAAACTCCTCGTAAAAACATCCACACACGCAACCCATCGATTCTGCCGTGCCCCGGTGGAAACCGCCGGACGTGGGCGACCCACCAGGGTCGCCCAGGTTCTACGGGGAGACCCGCCGCAGCGTTGATAGCTCGCTGGGCGTCGACTCCGACCACATGGTCTCCGCGGCTCCTCGGCGCGTTCGCCGCTGCTCGTCGACGTCGCCCGCGGGGAACGGAGCAACTTCCGAGCCCCGGTCGATCAGGACCGGACGCATGGTGTGCGTCTCCGCGCCCCATCTGAAGCCTCAAACCTGTGTGATCCAGGATGCTTTGATCCTGCTTTGCTGGGCGTAGGTAGAACAGGGTGACAAGGTGACTTTTGGCCAAAGATGTCCAAATCAAAATGTCACAAATCCTGTGGTTGGCAGTTGAAAGATCATGAGGTTCTCATCTGGTGAATCTGGTGTGAAAGCCAGGAGGAAACACCCAAAGCCAAAATTTGAAGTACGTAAACTGTGAAGATATTCATTGTGTTCTTTTCCGTTCAGGGTTTTCGGTGGGAGCTAAAAACTGCGACACATATTCTTCAAGGGAGCAAGGATTCAACGGCTCCAAGCTCAATTGAACTACAACTTAAATTCAGTGCCTCTAGCTTGAAATAGCATGTCACTATGGACATAGAGATTCTTGACATTCAAATTGCCCAATTTTCAGGGACACTGACACCAATCTCTCACTTGACCTCCTAGTGGTGGGATTTCCAGATCTGGAAAGTTTCAAGCGGCAAGACCTTCCAGGTCTTTATGAGTAACTCGGCCGTTGGAACCTTGTTGAATGGGCGCCTGGGCTGCAGAGAGGCTGGATGGGGGCGACAGGGGCTTAAATGTTCAACAGATGGCAGACAGTCATGTTCTAAGTTTTTTTTTTTCAAGAGTTCTAGTCACTCACTAAATCTCAGACAAGTGATATTGGTTCGGTATGGTGGAGAGAACGCTCAGGGTGGACAGATGGTGTTGGAAATCTGGGGGACATAGCTCCAAAAGGTCCCACGTGGCTTGCTCACGCTCATGGAGAGGTGGGTGACTGGTGGCAGAACCCTAGGAAAGCAGGCAGATCTGGGCAGTCGGTGACCGGATTCTTATAGTCAGATATTCTTACTGTATATCATTACTTTTTTTTGGAGAAAGGCCGTTACATGCCATCCACCTATCATCCACTTATCATCCACTAAGATGTGGTATATACCTAAGAGTGATCGATTGTTGCTGAGGATTGTATCCTTTATCACCTTCACTCTCTTGGGCATGTGCCTTGCCCGATCTTGGCCGGGATGGAGGTCTTCGCTTTTGCCAGTCCACCAGGCTTATGAAGAACAACATCCATGACACTCCATAGGACTGGCATATTTACATACATTGGGTGGTTTCTTGGGTCAAAGTAGGCAGTGGAGTGTTTGGGTATATAAAAAAACAATATAAAACCTATCCTCAAGTCCTACAAAAGACTGAGGCAACGCGGGCACGAGCGTTGTACTGTATGACATTGTATATACGGTATATATATATATAGACGCCCCACCACTCACCACCTGGACCTGCAGCATCACCGGGAAAAAAGTCAAGCACAGCGCTGACTGTTTGCCTTTTTTACGGCTCGGCGGAATCGACGGTTCTTTCGATTGCCCTAGGGACTGAGAAGGAAATAAACTTGGTTGGCAACCTCTGATCAATGCGATGAGAACCTCGCTCCCATGGTATGGCGTTTGTGGACCTATTCCTGCAAGGAGAAGCAGGATCAGTGCTTGAACCCTGCTTCAACCCAGCATGACTCATCCGCTCTTCATCGATCCATCCGGTTTCCATGCGTTTCCATGCGGTTTCCCCTCAGGAAGGTGCTGAAAAAGGCCATCCGACTTTTGGGGGGCGTGTCCCACAACCCTGTAACAGTCGGTTTTCCGCTTTGTTCACGATGGTTTGAAGGAAAAAGGCCTTTAACTAGCCATCATCCGCTGTTACAGGGAATAGATGAGAATAGGATATACCTATACCAGGACTATGCCATCCAACCGGTCACCAATGAAATACCCTCCACTACTTAGGGATCTCCGGACAGGACACCCATTGGATGGTCCAGGTATATATATATATTTATGTATGTTTGGGGAGTGACCAGTTGGGGAGTTGGGGTGGTAAAATCCGGGGTCCATGTATGGAGGTAACATCAATTGTCCATGAATCTACATCATCTACAGCGTGGCTGGATCAAATCACCTCCCCTTTGTGATCTCTCCCCAGGTCAGTGGAGAATGTTTTTGAGCTCTTGGCAGCACTCCAAGCGGTGCTGATGTTGCTGCTCCTGGCATTGGCCTTCTTGCCACCTTCGACGAGCAGTAGCAGTAGTGCACCATGCGATGCTGAGCTCGGGGCCTGTAATGCCGAGCGTACGTGCGAGTGAGACCGAAAAAGGGCTCAGTCTGCCTGGTCGGATGCAGATCACCATGTCACTCGATGGACCACGCGAAGATCGCCACAGAAGGGACCGGGTCCCGCTTAGAACAGGATCGGTGCGTGGGAAGAAGAGCTTATGTCCAGTTCATTCGGATTTACTGGCCCTTTTGGACCCAACAAACCCACAAGTAATATGGTTTACAGATTGCCAGCACCCCGGAAAGGGTGTCCATTAATAGCCCCTTATATAGAGGTCAAGGGTGTCCATCAACCACCCCTTGGGGGTCCAGGTGTGTATGTGTTATGTATTGAAGGTAATTGAATATGAAAGTAGGTGCGAGATGCACCCCTCAATGCCCACAAACATCAAGCTCGTTGGAGAGGTTGCTCCCATCGAGGCTCCTCATATCAAACAAACTGACTATAGTGGGATTTTGGAGTTGAGGGGTGTAGTTCTTGGTGTAGTTCAGGTTCGTGACTCAGGCCCCCTTATGTGTCGTGTCAGCCCAGCAAAGATGTTCTGCAGATGTTCTGGAACGTCCGAAAGGGCCTGCTTCTCGGGACCCTTCAAACAACTTGAGCCCATCTTGAGCCCTTGTGCTTCACAGTTGATTGGCTGCTTGAGCCAGGCCATGTCAAGCCCCTTATCCAGCTTCAGCTGGTGAACCTTTGTGGAGTTCCAGTCACCGAACCAACCATTTCCCAGCACCGTGACCGAAGCAACCAGAAGGATCAAGGATCTTGTCACCGAACCAGGATCTCGCCTCATGGCACAGACCCTTTGGAGAAACCACTATCACCAAGGCGCTATCAATGTGTTCTTCCTCCTTAGACAGCAGTGTTCCCAAACTGGAGACCAGGCGGATCTTCTAAGGACTTGTTTGACGAATATCTATCACATGGTAAGGCCAATATTTTTTTGCCAGAATCCTTGATTTAAAAGAACGTCAAATTGGACAAGTATGGAAAAGTCCAGGTCAAACACAATACATCTAAAAAAGGTCAAACATAGATCACAACTCGAGAAAAGAAATCAAAAACACGTCAATCAAAAGTCAACCCAAAAAGTCAAAACAAATTGAAACAAACCAAGTCAAAAAATACAAACAATACAAAATTCGATCACAACTCAAAAAAAAGTCAAATAACAGTCAAAGCAAATCAACAATAGAAAACAACTCGAAAAAAGTAAACATGTCAAGACAGGTCGGAAACAAAACAAGTCAACATTATAAAACAAAAGTAACAAATACTTCGGATCTGGGTCAATTGATATTTTTTGGGACTTACTGACACTTTCTGATTTGATTTTTTGACTTTGACTTTTGGGACTGACTGACTACTAAGTTGACTTTTTTGACTTTGTCAAAATATTGAAACAGGCTCTCTCTCAAATGAAATATGTTTATAAGATTTGTTCTTTCTTTTCCCCCATGCCCAATGGTTTATGCGGCCCACAGCAGTTGGGGGATCTTCTTTTTGGTTATCCTCCTTCAAGGTCCTCAGGACTCACCTAACCCCAGTTGTGCGAGGCTCCCAGCCGGCCGCCGGGTGCTCCTTCTCCGAAGGCTCCGATGATGTCCAGAAGTGGTGCAGTGTCATGGATTTCATACATCCTTGAATAAAGATTCCAATGGCATTTCATGGTTTCTTGAGCATTTCTTGGCTAGCGGCTAGCTGCTGCCATCACTAGATTCGAGCTTTGGCACCCCACCACCCCACACACGTCACAGGCTGCCGCGGCGACCACGCCCCGCGACGGGCCCCCGTGATGGGGCGCAGGCGGTGTTGGAAGAGGGTCATGGGCCGGTCGTGTACGACCGTGCTGGGCTTTTTTCGTGGTTTGTTCCCCCTCAGATGGATCCTCCTGGTCGCCTCTCCACGCGGTGGACAGAAGTTGCGGACAGAGGGAGGTGCGGAGGGACAGAAAAAAGCGTGACGTCAGGGGCAGCACCGACGTCAGGGGCGGGTGAATGTGATGGATCTTTGCTGAGATCGTTTGGTTGCGAACGGCAGTCAAGGAATTGTAAGGAAGCATGCATTGTTCCACTCCAGTCTGTGACACGCAGAGATCCGCGTGGAATAACAGACTTCGGTGATTGATTGATTTTATTGGATTGCATTGCATTCGGCGGTTTCCCATTTGATGGCCGCTTGTCACAAACACGGAATTTATATGAATGTATATGTAATGTTTAAGAACAACGAATGAGCGAAGCATATTTTCCCCCAAACACGACCAATGGGACTGGCTATATTTACATTGGGGTGGTTGATCCGGGGTCAACGTAGGCATATATATAATGGCAATATACTGAGTTTTCAGGAGCGGTTGGGTATTTTTGATGTTGTTCCTTTTCATCCCATTTCCGCAGGAAAGCGATGGAATCGAAGGTCTGACCGCGCTTCGAAACTGGAAGTCGATCCTCGCAACCAAGTTTGAACCACATGCAGAGACCCTAGTGGCCCTAGTGGCTTGGAGGTGAGGGTGTTGGCTTATCACTTGCATGCAAATGGAAGACCTGTTTTGTTGCAGTAAGCTTGCAAGACCTTTTGTTTATTAATTACTAGACTATATATATATATATATAAATCATAATTCAACCAGTGTCGGGACGGGACGATGTATTTTTTTCGGACTTTTTGGGGGAAGTTTCGTCACGACCTGGCAGCTCCGTATCAACATGTCGCCAACTACTACACCAACATGGGTGACCCAACTGACCCAACATCGTTGTCCAGCAGTTCTCCATCGTCTTGAAGTTGAAACGATTGTTATATAAAACATGTCCAGGACCCTCCAAGTGGTGCCCAATGGAAGCCTATAGGTAGTGTGGGGAAGTTTATTGGACACCCCGACAGGAGGGTCCTGGTGTGTTTAAATGAGACTGGAACCCCACAGTATTTCGGGTGGTTTTGGTGGTCCACTAACGACTTTTCAGTCACCGCCCGTGGGATTGAAGTTGTAGCAGGTGGAGGCCAAGGACGTCTGCAGTAACTACCAGGTTCTTCGACCGAATTTGCAGCCCCAGTTCCAGGTCACTTAGCTATATAGCTCCCAAGCGGGGCAATTCTTCCGGACCCACTTTCATACTTTCCGGGTTCGTGTTTTGGAGAAACAACGTCCTTTTCGATCGAAGTCTTCGATCGGAATTCACTCAATGAGGTTTTGCCAGTTGGACATGCAGCTTAGGGAGAGTTAGCATGTTGCTCCAACATGTTCGAACTCCCAGACACTCCATGTATGGTGTATAATGTGCCTGCATTGACCCCTGAAATCACCGTCAATGTATGTAAATATGCCAGTTTTATGGTGTGTGTTGGGCATTCCAACTTCTAACTCCATCCCAAGTCGCGGTCGACTTCCAAGACATCCGTCGATGATTTACTTCAAGCAAAGCTTGACTGTTTGCCCATCTGCCCTGACCTGACAGGGAGGTCTCCAATTTGCGTGTGACACACCATGATGGAATGCAAAAGCTCCATCCAAACGAAGTTCCAGCCTCCCATCCGTTGAAGAGGGGAAGTGTTCCAATCTCAGTATGGAATTGTTGCGTACATCAGAGCCATTCATGGGGTGAATGTATGTAGCTACTGTATCCCACTCCCATGGGTGGTTTGAAGATGAAAAAGGTAGATCCAGGACTCGCAAAACCATTCACGTCGAGCGATTCTCTGCGGAGCCTTCAGAGAAACTCTGGACCGCCTGGCTCAGCCAAGCCTGATAGGAATGCGGCCCCAAGAAGGTGATCGGAAGCGGCCACCAGCCATTTTGGTATCCAAAAGGTATCCATCCTCCCTTCCAAGCAGAGACCCAAAAAACAACATGACCTTCGTCATTCGCAAAACCTGTATGTCCAGGTTAGAAGAACCGCCATCGTGGTCAGGTCGGATGGGTTCTTTGGACCGTCCCCATCCGTCCCCAAGGGACGGGATGGGTTCTTCTCTTCTCCGCGTGGCCCGCGGGGATGGGCCTTGCAGTGCAGTGACCGTGATGTACGCGGTTCATGGAATGGATGAAGAGCTACGCAGCTACACCGGCCTAGAGTTTCTTCTTGGGCAGAACTGTTTGCCTATTTGATGTGTCAAGGCGCCGGTGTCCGTGTTTAGGCTTCGGCGTTCTTGTCCTTCAGGAACAACCCACCACTGGTCCAGGAATGTCCAGTGATGAAAAGCATGTGTGCATCAGGAATTCACTTCATGCTTCACTTGCATGTTGTTTAGCCTGTCTACGCTGTGATTCATTGTGTTTTTCTTTTTGTGTAGGCGTATGTAGGCGTTCTTACCTGTTACGTAGGCGTTCTTGCCCCTTCCCCCTCACTACAATCAGTAGTAAGGTGGACAAAGGAATGGTAGCCTTTTGGGGGGAGCGAGTGATCTGAGTTTTAAATACATTCAAGTACTTCTAGAAAATCGGGACGGGCGCATCAGGTGTCAAGCAATTGTTTTCTCAAAGGATCGTTGTTCAACAAAAATTGGTAAATTGGGGAGGGCGTTCTCAACCCCCACCCGTTGTACCAAGGGGGATGTAAATGGTTTCCTTCAATTTCTTACTCTGCCTCCTGCATTGTGTCTCATTGCATGTTGTTTAGCCTGTCTCGGCGTTTGGAGCTCAGCGAACGGGCGTTCGGTAAAAAAGGGTGGAGTGTTCAGCCTACGTTACAGTTACAGTAGGCAATAATAATGAAGCCGAATGAAGAACTAGGTCAGAGTGCTAACCACAACTGGTGGGGGTGTGGGAGTCATTTCGAAAGTATTCATGATGTATTCATGTGGATGAGGAGACATCAACTGTGTGTGTGTGTGTGTGTCAGACCATGCCATGTCTACCGTGAACCCTTGGACCGAAGAGGGGCTCCGAAGAGGGACCTGATTCTGCCTATCACGGTCTGCACTGATTGGCCCGAGCATTGCTTAAAGATTTTGTGCGCCAGTTTGGGCGGCGGCCGAAGCCGGAATTGGTTAATAGACCAGGAGCACAGCATAGCATAGCAGCTGCCACATTCGACTCACTAACATGGAAGCAGAAAAGGTAACTGTTGTAAGACTACTATAATCTTGTTTGTACTTCTACGATCAGGGGGTTGCACACTTCCATGTTAGTCAGTCGGAGCTTAGGACATGTTTTGTGTTGCATTTGTGGGGTAATGCAGTGTTGCCTGCGTGGCCAATCTCTTTTGAAGGGTGTCTTGAGGAATGGCTAGGCTTCCTCTTTGGAATATAACTGTACAATTCTTTACTTTATACTGTACTTATCATTATACATGGTTGACTTTGAACATGTTTTATAGCTTATCTGACTCAAATGGGTCACATTGGGGGTCATTCATTGGCATTCCCAATGATAGAGATCTTAGTTGTAAGAGCTTGCTTGAAAACTAAAGCAGGTGAATCTTGCAGGAGCATACCGTTCCTTTGTGAAAGGCGAGGTGCAGCACAGCATTATCACCACCCCATTTGCTGCTTGAACAGGGGTCCGTGTTCTTGATCAGGTATGCCCGACAGAAAATGCATAAGTCAGCTATTTTATTCCGTCTTCGTGCTGGCAAGATTCCGCGGCTGCACTTTGAGGTGCAACCGCGTCAGGCCGGATGGCGTTTGTTGGATTGCTTCGTTAGGGGGAGCAGGAACATTTAGGAGAATACCAAGGTGAATCATCACAAGGACCAATTCAAAGCCGGCTTTGCTTTGTTGAGTTTTGCATTGAGACAGGTGGCATTTCATAACTGAATGTCGAGATCGATCCTTTTGTATGAACAGCATTCAGCACTTTTTTGGGATCATCACAGGACAACACTGCAGATCTCCACAGGTCTATGTACACTCCAGGTCGGGGCACTCCGGGTCACAGCTTTCTGATTTCTTTTTGAGGTTCGGAAGGCCCTGAAGATGAACATGGAACCCCAAAAACCATTGCTTGGTAGAGGAAACACATGGAAAAAAAACTTTTTTGTCTTTGGGAATTTCAACAGCGGTCCAGGGGACCGAGCTTTCAGCCTTGGAACACACGTACCGTACCCTTGGCCCGTCGCTCCTCGCTCGCTCGAAGCTGCCACAGCCGGTGGGGGGGCCAAAGAAGCGCCCCGTGGCCGACCAGGTGAAGTCAAAAAGCGGACATCTGCAGACCAGTCACAGAGCTCGGTTTTCCAGCAGAGGTTGAAGAACCCTATAGACTATCCTATAGGGTCCTATATAAGGTCACTTAACCTCTGTAGGTTTTTCTGGTTTCCGTCCCATGTTCTGGTTCGTCCCATGTTTTCTGACCAGGGGTGTGCTTTGCTTGGTCCATCCAGTGAGTGGATTGGTCACATGGGGACCCGATCCTTCCTCCGTTCTTCACATGGGGACCCGAAATGTGACTTCAGGGTGAACCCCTAGGGATCCACATACCTTCTCAGGAGGTACTTGGACTACATCAATAGTCTCCAATCACCTGAGAAGGTACGACTGGTTTGTCTACGGAACCTTTTGGGTGATTCAGTTTTGGGCCACTTCCGCACGGACGACGAGTGACGGTCGAGTGGCATCCAAGCGCAACCACCTGGACCGGTTACGTGGGCCTGCAGGTGCGATGGGGATTGGACAAAAAAGGAACCTTTGCCAAGGACTGGGTAGGGTACACAACTGACATACTTGCGGTCATGATCCAATTTGGATCCATCTGGAGTGGAGGGTTCAGGGACCGACCGACCTGAGCAATCTGAAACAGATTGCTTCAGATCGTCCCAGTGAACAGTACGGCATAGTATGGCATGAACTGGTGCGTTTGTTGGGAGAACGGGCAGTTCCGGTTCTCGGAGCTGACCGGTCAGCTCGGTCAGCGAAGACCGCAGCCATTGAAGTTGGAAGCTGCATGAATGCAGGAGACAGGAGCCTAGCAGGCCCCTGGTGTTGGAGGTTATTTTGGAGTCCATCAACAGGAGCCTAGCTGCCTTCCCCCAGTAGCATTTCACTGTGTGGATTCTACCATCTACAGTTTGTTCGATCAAGAAGTGCCTTCAACGCATTGTAGGCCACTTGAGCCACTTGTGCATTTGACGACGTGCGCGCATGTGTGCGCAGAAGCGCATCCCTGACAGAGGCTGAAGGGGAGTCGGAACAGAGTACCAGAGCATGCTCTATTTGAAGTCTATTTGGGATTTGTGGATGCAGCAGCTCAATGGCTACCCATGTCACGTTAGGCAAGTTTGCTTTTAATGTTGGCATTTGTTGCTCAACATATGTATAGAACGAAGTAATGGTTTAAACTTATTGGAATGCTGTTCAGTATTCCCTCTCTGCACCATCACAGCAATGCACAGCTGGATTTGGAATCAGACGTTGAAGTCCTGCCTCGCACTGTCGAGCCTTTTGTCCTTGTTTGGCCATCCACGAATCGCTCACCTCTTTGCGTCCACTGCCTCGCTCGGCAGCACCTGGAGGTCATGCCGCAGCGACGGTTGCAGCACGGCGATCCTCACAGCACCCCCTCCCGCGGGGGGGGGTTT